ACCAAAGATTCTCAAAACATAATACATGATTCGAATACACTTCCCAGAAGTTTTAAAAGGGCCCAAGTGCTACACAAAATTTATTACCATTCTTTGTTCCTATCAAAAAGAATTTAGAATGTGATCAAGGAATTTTTTTTTTCACAAGTGGTCAAGGATTTAAATTCTACTGGTTTTTCATGATTAGCATTTTTCCCTTTCTGTGTCTTACCTTTTTTTTTTGTGTGTGTAAACCCTGTTTAATTAATTGCATTTTTATTAATGAAGCCTCTAACTGGAGGTATAGAAAGAGGAAGAGAATAATTGACTGTCTTGGATTGAATTATGAGGATATATCATATATTTTTATGTGTACATACATAGACACATAATTAAATCTCTTTTTAATTGAAGATATGCTCTTTCATTGTTTGTGTGGGCCTAAACTTTCCATGTAAGTATGATGAAATAAATACATTGTGTTTTAATGACTGCGAGCGTTTTGCATGACAAATTTTCTTATTTTGGGAGGGTCTAGAATATTCAATTTCATATTTTACTTCATTAAGGTTGGCTTATACAATAAAATACGCCTATGGAGACATACGACATGTAATTAGGACATGTAGGTTGAAAGTTACAATAAAATATGCCTTAAACTTTGTCAAAAGAGGGCGTTTGGAGGTAAAAATGCGAAACAACCCCTAAACCACTCTGGGGATGTCACGAAAAGATTGTTCGTGACAAACACGACCTATGGGGACAAAAGACACGTAATTAGGACACGTAGGTTGGAAGTTAGAGTAAAAACCCCTAAATTTTGTCGAAAAAGGGTGTTCGGTGGGCCAAAATGCGAAACAACCTGCGAAGCACTCTGGGGATGTCATAGGAAGCTTGCTTGTGATAAATACAACCTGTGGGGATAGACGACATGTAATTAAGACACATACGTTGGGAGTTAGAGTTGAAAACGCCTTAAACTTAGTTCAAAAAGGGCGTTGGGGTGGCAAAAATACGAAACAGTGCCTGAACCACTCTGGGGATGTCACCGGTAGCTTGCTCGTGACAAGTACGACTTGTTGGGACATAATTAGGACACGTATGTTGACATTTAGAGTAAAAAATGCCTTAAACTGAGTTGAAAAAGTGCATTTGGGGGTCGAAAATGCAAAACAATCTCGAACCACTATGGGGATTACGCAGGCAGCTTCTTCGTACCTAATAGAACATATGGGGACATACGGTCCATGAGTAGGATACATAGGTTGGGAGTTAAAGTTGAAAATGCCTTAAACTTAACTGAAAAATTGCATTTCGGGAGGGGAAAGCTTGGGAGAAACTTGTTCGAACATGCAACATATGATTACGACTATAATTATACAATTTTGAAAAGATTATATACATTCGAGTTTTATATAATTTTCTTTTATAATTTGAAATGATAATGTTATTCAATCAATACTAATGGTTAATTTTATTTTTATAGATGGTTTTTGGCGTGGAAATGTGAATATTCCTTATTTGTGTGCAGAGGACATTGTTTTTTTTTTTTTATAATATATTATTATGTTGTCCTTTGTTTTTTTTTGTGGATTACTATTTTTTTTTTAATAATCTATTATTATGTTGTCCTTTGTTTTTTTTTGTGGATTACTATTGTTTGTACAGATAACTATTGGCTTGGTACAAATTAGTTTTGGCATAGAACATATTACATTTGGCGTGGTATAGATTACCATGTTACATGGTATTGTGGATATTTCTTTTTTTGTGTACGAAAGACATAGTTTTTGTATAATCCTCTGTTTTGTATAGAATTATTATTTTAAGTTGGATAATCCTTGGTTTGTATGGAATTTCTATTATATTTCGAATTTGACATTAAAAATTAAATTTATTAGTTTGTTTATATATAGGGTACAGGTTGCATAGAATAAATACAGGGCAAAATTAATATAAAAAAAAACTAAAAGTTTTTGGTGACTAAACATTTAGTAGCCAAAAAGAAGTGAAGTTGTTGACGACGAACCAAATTGGTAGCCAAAAGGAAATCAAGGTTTTTTCGCGACAAAATATTTGGTAGTGAAAAGAAAAAAAAGATTTTTGGCAACTAAATAATTAGTAGCCCAAAAAAAAAAAAGACAAAAAATAAATTTTATTTGATGACTAAATATGTAGTAGCCCACAAAATTTGAAGTTTTTGCCTACAAATATTTAGTCAACAAAAAAACCGTCGATATTTTTTACGACTAAACATTTAGTCATCAAAAAAGCTGCAATCTTTTGCCTACAAAAAGTTTGGTCACCAAAGGAGTCAATTAGATGTTTGGCTATTAAATTAATTTGTCATTGATAATGGAAAAAAGAATTGGTGACTAAATATTTTAGTCACTAAATAAAACATAGTAGTGACAAAATTTATGTACGACTAAAAATTTTTGGTACAAGTTTAAATTAAATTTATAGAAAAATTTATGGCGACTAAATTATTAGTTGCTGAAGGCTATTCATTGGCTACTAAAATAATTTTAGTCACCAATACTTTTCCCGACAATTAGTCAACAACCAATTGGGTGACTAAATAATTTAGTTGGGAATTACATTCGGTGACTAAAAAATGATTTTTAGCAACTAAAAATTTAGTTGCTAAATGTGCAATTTCTTGTATAACTAGTTTATTACCCTAATTAATTTCAATAGACTTGATTAGCTAATAGTAATTTTAAAATTGAGTGGGAATTTTTTTTTAATAATTTGGTAACTACCTGATACGGATATGACATATTTGTCGACATATCCATGCTTCATAGTGATAATTCTAAATAATAATTTTTATATTTTTTTGCAAAGTATATATTATTTAAAATTTATTATCATAATTTGCGATGTTAGTGTAAGAGGCGGTACCCTTTGTGCAATCTATTTGAATCCAATTATAATTGACTTTGTAGGATAAAAGTCATTTAAATTATGACGAATTTCTCACATAAAATTACATAATTATTTAATGCTAATAGAATTTGTAAATATTCACAAGCATCAACATACACGATTATAACCTCACAATTGCTACAATCATCACTAATATTGTTGCAACCATCATCACCGTCACTGTTACTGTCACTGTCACCACCACCACAACCATTATGAAGCCATCATTGTTATTACCACCACCTTCATTATCATTGTCATTGTTAACATAAAGCATACCATCATTTCAACTAGTGAAATTTCATTATCTTTAAATAGTGAAATTTAACCTTAATATTTAGGTGAAATTATTAAAAAAGTGAAATTTCTACTAAAGAACTAAAAATTATAAAATTAAAGGCAAAGACGAACTAGCGAGTAAATGGAAAACTTATGAGTTAAAGAGAGATCTCGTCGATGGATTCATTGGAACAACAAGTGATTGTCACTATATTTTAAATTAGCTAACAATAATTTCATTTTCTTAATTAATTTGTTGTCTAATTAATTCTATAATGTAATTACCAAAACTTCAATATTATTTAATTAAAACTTGATAGTAATAATTATTTAATTATCTTCAACTAGTGAAATCTCATTCTCTTCAAATAGTGAAATTTAGCCTTAATGTTTAGGTGTAATTTAACTATTAGCAAAGTGAAATTTCTAGTAAATGCGTAGAACGTATAAAATTAAATGCCAAAGACGGAATAACGAGCAAATTAGTACATTTATTGAAGGGTTTAATTGTATCATTTTATAGTTTAGGTAGTAGAGTAATACTTCGTGATAGTTTCATAGGGAGAGAAAGTGAGACTTTATGCTAGTTTTAGTGAAGAGAAGTAATTGATACCTCATGATAGCTTTAGGCGACTAAAATTTTTTTAGTTGGCGTAAGTCTAAATTTTAGGCTACTAATTCGTGTTTTGTCGTGGTATACAATTATTTGCCAATAAAAGGAAGTTTAGTTGCCAAATAACAAGCTTATTTTTGGGTTACTCTTTGCCTATCAAATAATTTTGTCAGCAAATATAAACTTTTGATGACTAAAAAAATTTAGTTATTGTATGTTCAATTTTGGCCAATGACAAAAAAACAAAAAAAATAGTAGCCAAATTATACTTTTGGCTATCAAAGTTTAGTCGTTATTGATTAACATTTTCCAACAAATAATAGTTTAGTCGCTAAAGGTTGAAAATTTTATTGCCGCCTGCACCCCTATTTTTTGTTTCACACACACTTTTTTCTCTATTCTCTCTCTCTCATACACAAAACAGTCACCACCAAACCTCACCCCTGCTCACCACTGACGCTCACCCCCTCACCGTTGCTATCCACCGTTGCTCGCCACCGTTGCACATCCCCACTGGCACAAATCACCATAGTAGCTCTTGCAATTGGTTAGACACGTAACTAATGTGAAATTTCTTTAATGTTAATATTGCCAAGTTTTAATTTTATTTTGTAATTATTAAATAAACAAAAAAAAAATTAAGATAAATTACTAATAGGTCCTACTTTTGAAACTTATTACCCATTAAGTCTTATTGATAAATTTATCAGTCCTGTAAGTGAATAAATCTAGTCAATAGGACTATTGGTAAGTGACTAAAAAAATTATTAACTAACTATAACAGTTCAAATAATTATTTTATTAAATTATTAATTTAAAATGTTAAATTATTTTATGTTAATACTAATTAAATTTGTTACTATATGTAATAGCTATTAATAATTAAATAATAAATTATTAACAACATAATAGCAATTATTTTTAAATATAATTATTAATTATGGATTAAAATAAAAAAAAGTTCCTAAAATTATTTTTTCATTTATAATATTAATTAAACTTTAATAAAGGTAAAATTACAAACATAAATAATAAAATTTTTAAAAAATGTACAAATTAAGACCAATTCTTACTACAAAATTTTGTTCCAAATTCAAATTTCTCCTCAATATTTAAAACAAACCCTTCAAAAATTTACCTACATTAAAATTCCCTCCTAAAATTTGGCCTAAATTTCTACTCCCTCCCAACCAAAAAAAAAAGAAAAAAGAGCAAAAACTAGCTGGAGAGAGAGACAGAGAGAGATGCGTTCGAGAGAGAAAGAGTGAAGACGAAGAAGAGAACATGAAGAGAAGATGGAGGGAAGAGTAGTCATTCAGAGTGACAACTTTGCTTGCGACGGCCATTGCTCCGTCCGGTCGATGAAGACCGATGAACAAAGCAGACGAAGCCATCTCACCTCTCCCTCTGGTCGGAGCTCTCGTACCTCTTTCTCATACCGCCCTTCAGGTACATGTTCAGATATTACAGATTTGAGTTATGATTTGAGGATTTTCAATTTCAAAATTAGGGTTTAGGGTTTTTCAATTTCACAGGTCCCTCGCTTCGATTTTTCTCCCTCTCTGTCAATCTCGTTCTCTCTTTGTCGATCTCGGCCGCTGCAAATCAGTGGTTTCTCTCTCGGTCTTTCTCCCTCTCTATCGATCTCGATCGCAAATCACAGGTTTTTATCTGACGATCTCGGTCTCTCTCTATCGATCTCGGCCGCAAATCACAGGTTTTTCTATGTCTGATTATTTTATAGTTCGTACCTTTTGAGTTTTGCTTGTCCTCTTGTTGTGGAAATTGGATGAATGATTCATCTTACAATCACTCTGTCAATCTATTTGTGTAGCATCTTTCACACATGGAAGCATTGTGGTGGAGCTCTGTTACGGAAATTGATACAACACAGCCAGCCATTAAAATCAAGGTATATGGCTGCTTTTATTGAGTATGAGTGGCGTAATACATGAGTTTGAGTTTAGATTACTTATTATAGTTGGAGTTTTGGGAAGAATGAGTAGGAATATGGATTTTTCTAAAATTAAAAATGAAATAAGGCAAGGATGGAAGGGTGTTAGCTCAATAGAACAGGAAGGCTCACACTTGCGGGTCTTGTGAAACCTTATTAATAGTACTAAACATTCGCAAGTACTGTTTGTTTTGAAAGTTTAAGTTTATCCATTAAATACAAGTCAAAATCACATATATCCTTTAGTGATGAGTCCAATCTCTTTGATGTAAAATTGAGTTTGAACATGTTAACTAACAAACTTAATAGGTCACTAAAAGTTTTTAGACTTAAGCATTTAATGGGGTTGCCAAACAATTCTATAGTCCCATCTCTTTTTGTTTCTTTATCCCCTAATAGATTCTCTTTTTTCTGTTCATGTAGTCCAACATCAACTCATCAAGAAAACCCTTAATCTCTTTTATGTTATAATGATCTGGGTGGAATTTATTTATTTAATTTTCATTTGCTGCCAGTGATACCTGCATAGATTCATATGTTTGTATATAATGATTGGTTGTGATGAGAGTGAATTTGTATTGTTCCCTTCTGCAGCTAGGGAGAAAGCTATGGTTGTTAACTTAGAGTTTATAAAGGCTATAGTTACAGCTGAAGAAGTGCTATTGCTTGATCCTCTTCCCCGGGAGGTTCTTCCGTTTGTGGATTAGCTGCGGCAATGACTTCCTCATAAAAGCATGTCCAAATGTCAAAGGGGGGGTACAAGATAATGAAATGCAATTATCATCTGGGGGACAATGGTTACCTGTTCCTGAAGCCGTTGAAGGTTTGCAGTGTGACCTCTCATTTGAGTTTCAAGTTCTTGAGATTGCATTGAAGGTTGTCTGTACATATTTGGACATTAGTGTAGCAGACCTTGAGAGAGATGCTTACCCTGTATTGGATGAACTGGTGAGGAATGTTAGCACCAAGAATATTGAGCACGTGAGGAGTTTGAAAAGCAATCTGACCAGTTTACTTGCACGGGTACAAAAGGTACACATTAGTGATTTCTTTTTTCTACTAGTTACAACAGATTACTTCATGGTGTTGCTGCACTTGCTAGTTATTTATTTATTTTTGTTTTATTAACTTTGATGTGGAAAACTTATACATGAGAAAAGAGGAAAGCCCATGTATCCAGTAGTCTATTTTAAATTGTGTATCTTCTTTGCATAAAGTGTAAAATCAGGTTGGAGTGTAGATGTCAGTCGTTGGCTAAATTGGTGGCAATTAGGTCTTGTTGCATTCATTTTCCCTCTTTTGTTTATCTACATGTAAAGAATTTATGGATGTGTTTGGTGCATCATTCTAGTGGCTATTTGGTAGGGGTGCAACTCGGGCGGGCTCAACCCGAGCAGCCCGAGCCCAGCCCGAGTTTTTTTAGGGCTTGGGCAACTATATCTTGTAATCTGGACGGGCTTGGGCAGATTTTTGATGCCCGAATTGCAGAAAATGGTAGTAATAGCAATGATGGCTTCATAATGGTGGTGGTGGTGACAGTGCCGGTGATGATGGTACCAACAACATTAGTGATGATTGTAGCGATTGTGAGGTTATAATGGTGTATGTTGATGTTTGTGTATAAATATTTATATATTCAATTAGCATTAAATAATTATGTAAATTTATGTGAGAAATTTATCATAATTTAAATGACTTTTATCCTACAAATTCAATTATAATTGGACTCAAATGGATTGGAGAAACGGTACCGCCTTTTACACTAACACTACCAAATTATGAAAATGGCTTGTAAATAATATATATTTTGCAAAAAAATATAAAAATTCTCATCTATAATTATCTTGAAAATATGAAGAATGGGTATGTCAACAAACATGTCATACATGTACCCGGTAGTTACTGAATTATAAAAAAAAATTTCACTCAATTGTAAAATTACTATTTGTTAATCAAGTCTATTGAAATTAATTAGGATAATAAACTAGTTACACACTATATAAGAAATTGCACATTTGAAAACTAAATTTTTAATCGTTAAAAATCACATTTAGTCGACGAATGTAATTCCCAATTAAATTATTTAGTCACCCAGTTGGTCGTTGACTAATTGTTGTGTAACGCTCCCAAAAAAATACAATAAAGATAACTCATATGCAGAATAAATATGAGAAACAAGATACTTTCATACATTAGAGTTCACTGTTTAACAACCAGTTAAATGCCGAATTGGGATCCTTCCCTTGAGGCCCCTTCTTCATTTCCTCCTTGTAGGGGCCTTCGGGTCCACTTTGAGGCCCAGTTTTGATAATCCGAACCGTTCATATTTTTAGATTTATTCAGTATATCATACCTGTAAAAAATCAAGTTGATCGAATATCATAAAGTATGTGTTCGGAAAACTGTTTATTAAAAAATAGTTTGTAGTCCCAATTTTCTGAATGCATACTTTCTGATATCCGATCAACTTGATTTTTTACAGGTATAATATAATGAATAAATCTAAAAATATGAACGGTTCGGATTATCAAAACTAGGCCTCAAAGTGGACTCAAAGGCCCCTGCAAGGAGGGAATGAAGGAGGGGGCTCAAGGAGGGGATCTGGACTCTTAAATGCCATGTAGGCTTACATCTTTCCAAGTCATTGATTGGTTACACAAATTGAGTTTCGCTCATTACATCTTAAGCTCTTGGCTTTACAAATAATAAACATACACATAAAGCATAATTAAGAAGCTCTTGTTTCTTGAAAGTCCATCCACGCTATTGCCTTGGAGGAAACATTTCACCTGCTCTTGAAAATGATGTTCTCGTATAGGGTGAGCCAACAGCCCAGTAGTGATAATCTAGCACAATATATGAGGTTTAGCAAAGGTTTAAATACTACGTGCATAAACAAGACCGATACTAAAACATCCACAAGGCATGCATATTAATATGCCATTAAGACCAAACCTCATTTCCATTTTCCTTCAATTCATTTCAAGTTCATAGATGCTACTCAATTCATCAGTTAAATTCATTATCTTTTAACAACCAAAATGAGACTACAACTCAATGGTTTCCAATTATGCAAAACACACATAAACACTTCAAATCTGCCATTTTACGGATATTTCGTCAGAAGGAATCGACACCCATTTATATATGAAATTTCGGGCCTTTCACCTAGGACACTCTGGCTAACTTGCTTTAAATGGAGTCCATCCCCTTTCTCCTCCAAAACAAATATACATATGCAATGTATTTATAAACATAATCATATATGGAGTACATTCCCTTTCTCCTCCCAATAAACATATATATACAATGTATTTATTACATAGTCATATTCAATGACATCAACAATAGATTAGCATTAAATCGCCTAATCCTCATGTAATTTCTACAACAATCATAGCTATTTACTACCAATAGCCCAATGCAATTATTTCAAAAGAAATGTTCAATATCAAAATAGATAGCTTTTTCAAAACTTCCATAAGTGAGATAATACATATCCAATATCACCATTTATAATCACAACCTTTAAATTTCACATTTTCAATGTTAATCCCAATTATTTATACAAAATAATAATCTAATCAAAATTAGGGAAAAATCTCATCAACCCAAACACCAAAAACAACTATTTTGGCACAATACAACCTTGTATCCAAACCTCAAACCCACTTATGCCAATTTCATCAAAAACCCTTCTTTTCATTTCATACCCAAATCCTAGATTTGTCCAAACCACAACCAAATTTCATCATCTACACACAATAGCAAATAACTAAGCTAAAAACCATATTAGAGTGAAAAAATTCCTTATCTCAAGAAAAGAAGATGAGCAAAGCAAGGTTGAACTCCAAAAATGGCGAAACCCACGTTTACTTAGATCAATACGAAGCTCTTGAAGCCCTCTACCTTATTCTCAAAGACACTAGGGTCAAGAACTCAATGGATTTAGATGAAATCTTAGAGAGAAGGTGAGTTTCTAGAGAGAGAAGCTCAAGATTTGGAAATTTGGAGACTTTTAGAGAGAGAAAAAGCAGAAAATGATCTGAAATGTCCCTTTCACGATTTGTTATAACATGGCCCGCTCGAGCGCGAAAATCCCCGGTCGAGCGTAAGACACAGACTCCCACTCGAGCGTGAAACCCTGCACTCGAGCGTAAAATATGCTCTCCCAGTATTTTTGCAGACATAGTCCCCGTTCGAGCGCCTGAATTCCCGCTCGAGCATGGAGCAAAATTTGTGAAGTCCGCTCGAGCGCAAGAATTCCCGCTCGGGTGGAAGAGCCAATTCTGGGCATCAAAGGCTTGGAAAAACAAGAAACCAACCTGTTCCAAACACACAACTACAACCCCATAACCAACAATAAGGTGAAGACAACAGGAGCAAGACATGAACTACCATCCAAACCATACAATCCCGAGTCCGGAACACCACAAGAGACGGGTCAAAACCAGGGCTGCTATAACCTCCCCCCTTAAAGAATTTCGTCCCCGAAATTACAAATCATGTTTCAAAACCATGTTTTAGCCAATTTCCAAAAATGATTACCAACAACATATACGATTCTTCCAAGAGTGATACAACACCCACAATATTCCACATTCTCAAAACATATACAATGTTTATATTGAATCCATGTTTTTCCCAAACAATTATAATATATACAATGTTCTTACAAGTTAAAACATAGACAATGCTTATACTTCTCATTAACAAAATAATTCTCAATACTTGCTTATGCATCAATAAACAAATTTGGATATTTCTCTCGGACTTCTAATTCACGTTCCCAAGTCGCTTCCTCGACTCCGTGATGTTTCCACAATACTTTTAACAAGGGAATTGTCTTGCCTCGCAAAACTTGATCCCGTCTATCCAAGACTTCCACCGGTCTCTCCTCCTACGAGGCATCCTCATCTACCTCTAAGTCGGTCCAATCCAACACGTACGATGGATCTGGCTCATATTTCCAAAGCATACAGATATGAAACATGTCATGAACTCCAGAAATTTGTGGCGGTAATGCCAAACGGTAATCAACCTCCTCAATCCGTTCAAGGATCTCAAAAGGGCCAATAAACCGAGGGGACAACTTCCCACTCTTCCCAAAACTCATCAAACCCCGTCTAGGTGATATTTTCAAAAAGACATGATCTCCCACCTCAAAAGACAAAGGTCTCCCCCTACGGTCGACATAACTTTTCTGGCGATTCTGAGCCATAACTAACCTCTTACGGATAAGTGCAACTTTCTCCGTCGTTTCCCGAACCAACTCTGGACCCAACAAAGGTGCATTACCCACCTCGGCCCAACACATTGGAGATCTACACGGTCGATCATACAAGGCCTCAAATGGTGCCATGCCAATACTCAACTGGAAACTGTTATTGTAGGCAAACTCCACTATGGGTAGGTGTCTCTCCCACGACCCCTTAAAATCAAGGACACAGCCTATGCTCAAGGATCTGAATGGTACGCTCGGACTGCCCGTCAGTCTGAGGATGGTAAGCCGTGCTAAAAGTCAATCTAGTGCCCAAGGCACTCTGCAAACTCTGCCACAATTGAGCAGTGAAACGTGGATCTCTATCCGAAACAATCGTCACAGGGATTCCATGCAACCTCACTATGTCCCTAATATACAGGTCGGCAAGATAATCTATAGAGTCACTTACGCGCATGGGAATAAAATGCGGCGATTTAGTCAACCGGTCAACGACCACCCAGATGGCATTATTACCCCGTTAAGTCCTCGGAAGACTCACAACAAAATTCATCGTGATATGTTTCCACTTCTACTCAGCTATAGGCAAGGGTTGTAACATACTCACTGGCCTCTGATGCTCAGCCTTCACTTGTTGACAAGTAAGGCACTTTGTATAAACATAGCCACATCTTTTTTCATACCTCTCCACCAAAACTGGCGACTAAGATCATGATACATCTTTGTGCCTCCCGGATGCACCACAAGGCGTGAATAGTGAAACTCTCGAAGTACTTCCTCTCGGCAAGACTCCGGTACAAACAAACATTCACGGTATCTCACACTCAGGTCGGGATACACAGTCAAACCTCTTTCTACCTTCCTAATGGAAATCTTCTCTCGGAACGATTCCACTTCAAGGTCACCCTTTTGCGCTCCCAGCACTCGATTCACAAGTGTAGGTTATGCAATTACTGAAAACAAAGCTACAGACTCAACAGACTTGCCCAGATGCAAGTCAAACTCATTAATAGTACCCAACATTTCCCATTCTCGGATGGCGATAGAAGCTACATTGCTAACTGGCTTTCTACTCAAAGCATCGGCCACAACATTGGCCTTCCCGAGATGATAATGCAACTCAA